TGCTGCTTCATATTAAGTTAGGGGTTATAAAGAAAATAGCCTTGTTTCCCTCAGGAAAGAATACAGGAATCTGTGTCTTGATGCAGTGCTTAGAGCCACATCTCACTAGAAGGAACACATTTTGGAAGAAAAGCTGCAATAACCCCACAGGGCTGGTGGGGGCAAAGCCACATGGGACTCTAAGACATTGTGACTGTGCCTCTCGCAAAAGAGGGTTGTGCATATTGGCACAGAGCTGTGCCACAAACCCATTTTGCTGGGAATTGCTTAAAGGAAAGATTTGAAAAGGCCAGGTTCTTGTTTCCTAGTGGCCTGAAAAGATTAGAAAGAAAAACCCCATTAGGGAGTGGGGGAGAGACCAGGGCAGGCAGGAGCCTGAGCTGCGCACTCACATTAAGGTCAGCTGCTGTTCTTTAGGATTCAGATGATTTAGGTTACTCTGCCAGCTGGATCCTCTCAAGGCTGATGCTAAAGAACACAAAAGCCTTTTGTCCTTCATGGGGAGACTTTAGAGCACAAGGAGTTGGGCTGTGCTCCTAGTGAGGCTCCTGCCTTTTTCTGTAGGCATTTGAATGCCTTCAATTCAGATATGTGTGGCTGTATTGTGTAGTTCTGGGAAAAAAAAAAACAAAAACATAGCATTAACATCAATATTGGCGCTTGCTGCTTCCTGTGTTCCAGGTATTCCTCAGTTCTGTGGGGTTTACTTCAGATTTTGAACAAATTTTTGCAAATAACCCCATCGCTCTGACAAAGCATCATCTAAATACTGCTCCAGAGCTGCTCATGACATCACCAGGATTTAGAAGGGGCTCTGATACATTAAGTGTTATCAGAGAGGTAATGAGGTACCAGGCACTGCTTTTAGTGACCATTTTCACTGCATTCCTCTCGAACACATAATGAATCAGGTGGGAATGTTTTTCTGTGCAGGTCATAACCTGCACTGCTATTGCCAGTGGGGCTTTCTGACTCAGCAGACCTGCATCCTGTGTGAAGGCTCTTGGATCTGCTCACCCTCCTCTCAGAAGCAGCTCAGCAGACAGAAGCTCTTCTTTCCTGCTCGCCCTGCAGCAGAGATGAAAGCATGTGTGCTGCAGTCTGTTCAGCCTCAGGCCCCAACGCCCTAGGGATGGGCACCACTTACAGACCTACCCTGGGCAGGCCACAAAAATCTGTATTCATGCACAGGTGAAAGAAAAGTTCCCCACCCTCATTGTCAGGTCCTGGGACAGGATGGCAGGGCTGGGTGCTCTCCTGTACGTTTATCAGCTGGCTGAACTGGATGTGTTGTTAATGAACGCCTGTCATTTTACAGTCACAGTTCAGGAGTGGTGTTGTGCTTTGCTCTGCTGCAGGATTTCCCAGATCACTAACAGCATTTTCTGCTTACAGGAGCTCACAGGAAAGCTGCCACGAGAATACCCCTTAGATCCTGGGGAGGAGCCGCCTATTGTAAGGAGAAGAATAGGAACTGCCTTTAAATTGGATGAGCAGAAAATCCTTCCTAAGGGAGAGGTGAGGCTGTGCCCTTCCCTTCCAGCCCTGTGCCCCCACCTCCGGTCTCTAAGACATCCAGCTTGCATCACATAGGAACCATCAGTCTTACAGTCATTTTTGCTTTAAATGACTTTGGTTGGTCATGGTGCCTTTTTTTTTTCCATACCCATCAGAACAGGAAAACAGTGAGAGAGTTGATGCCCTTAGTTCAGAGTCGGAGTAAAGGTTAAACCCTCAAAGTTCACCCCTGGCTTTGCTAGAGGTGACAGAAATAGCCTGGGTGACCAACTAGACCATGACAGTCCAAGTGTTCCGATGACTTGTGTGAGTAGGGAGCACATCAGGAGCCCCCTGAGCCGTCTGGGCCCTGCTGCTGCCCTGTGGTGTTACTGCAAACAGCCACTCGCTTTCCATCTCAGTAGCAATCCCAATTCAGATCTCCCCTGATGGGGAGAAAAGCATCACAATTCTCCATCTTAGCCCTGCAATAGCAAGATGAAAGCGTTTCACTCCCCAGTCCTTAAACAAAAGAGCCTTCTTCCTTACCTATGGGGAGCTGCAATTATGTTTTTCTAAGTTTGCCAGGGAGTGTTTGTTCTCTTCCCTTGCTCCCACCATGTGCTGGGTCAGTGCCCTGAACCGTGGCTGTGAAAACAGCCCTGCAGCAGCTGGAAGGCGGGACCAGATTCACAGAAAAGCTATTGTCTGCAGAGACCCATTTGTCTCAAGACACTTGTGTATATTCCAGTCTCAAGTTTCCTTTTTATTTTTGTAAGAGGAGAGACTGAAGCTGGTGTGTCTGTGCGGTTTAAGGCTCCATTCAGCCAGGGAATTAACTGTTTGTCGTTTTGTTTGCATTTTCCTTCTGCTGAAAAAAAATAAACAGCTAGAGCCCTTTAGTTCTGTTCTCAGTGGAGCCTGGGAGAGGAATTCCAGGGAAGTCAAATATTCATGAAGTAGCACGTTTAATTAAGCTTTTCAAAGGGAAGCATGGCTTAGCTGAGTTACTCCTAAAACCCCTGCAGTCTGTTGGCTGCTCAGTTATAACCTGATCTCCAGCTTCCTCAGATCTTACTGCTACAAGACAGCTTTTGGAGCCAGCAGGTGAGGAATCTCCTTACTCCAGTGGCAGGGTTAGGTGGGGAGAAGGTAAAGCAGCTCCTCCCCATTGCAGTCACTCTGCCTTTTGGCATCAGCAATCCAAACATGCTGACTCAGCTCTTCTCTGCTTCCTTTTTCATCTGTCAAACTTTGAGACTGTGTTGAAAACCATAAATTTCTGTTCTCGAAGAATGATGTTGAGCTGTATTTATTTGGCTGCCAGTTTGAGAGCATTTAGAGAGGCCAGCAATGATTTTCATGCACTTTTCAGCAAGTGCAAACACTAGAAATTCAATTTAAAACAAAAGGTGAAATACTTCCTCAGTCACATAAATCCAGGACTGATATTACCAACTGTGACAAGGACCTGAAGCAAGGCACTTCTGTCTGAAGGCAGATGATAGCTGTTGTTTTCCAAGGCTTTATTTATAGTGGCCTCAGTGGAAGAAAATAGACAATTATGGCCAGAAGGGAAATTAATATTTTTTTTCTAAGATATACTAAGTGATTTAGAACCGAATCTGTGAAGGTCTGAAGTGACAGCTCAAATCAAACTGTCCAAACCTTTAATAATAGCTTTATCAGAGCAAGACTTGCAGGGAAGGGTCCTATTGTATTTTTTCGTAATCACCTCTACTTGGTCCATAATTCCTGACTCTGGGAAGGATTTTGCCAGAAGGCAGTGAACTAGGTTCCAGGCCTTAAAACTCTGTGGTGTCAAATAAGTTTGTCCCTGATAGAGCTTATAAACTCTTCAAAGCAAAAAGGGATGTGTTAAAAAGGTGGGGAGTGGGTTCAGTCTTCAGTAGAGTGAGGGAAATTATAATTATAGATTTAAGGCAATGCTGACTCACCACTGACAGCAAAGGGATTTTTTTCTTTAAGTTAGAAGCCCAGAAGAAAAATTTCAGAGAATGACTTGTGATTAATTCCCTGAGCATCAGCTTTTGCTTCATGTGCCACTGCTAAACCAAGAGAAAGGATCTGAATTTGCATAACGGGGATCTCTGTGAATACACGGCTGTCAGTGCTTGCGATCTCAACTCCCACCCTTCACTAGAAGTAAAAAAAGCTTGTAATTTTTTCCCTAATCTGCAAGGTACTGTGTTCCCCTTCCTAGCAGACTAACACCAAAAACTCCATCGAGCTGGGGAAGGGAGACAGATCTGTTGCAGATTTGCAGGTAACTCACAGCTTGGAGTCCCGATGCAGACCAGGAAGCTCTGTATCAGCTTCTGCATTGGCATAATTGGCCTAAATCCCTTGACTTTGGAGGATAACTAAAAATCAGTAGGTAGCTTCCAGGGTACACCTGGTAGCATTTAAAAACTCAGCTGAGACCCTTCAAGGACTAACGTTGGAGACACTAGTCGTTTTTGGCGTACAGAAAGCTTGCTGTTACACGCTGCTTGCTCTGAAATCAGCCTCCTGGCTTGTAACTCAAGGAGACAATTTTGCGGAGCAATCAGTTGTAGCAGCCCATAATAACTTCAGCTCATACTCTCCCCTGGATTTTGGTGGCCATACACCAGGGACAGATTACCCCATCTTTGTCTTTTTTACGCTACAGCATTTGGTGGGTGCCAAGCAAGCCTGTCAAGAAGGTTAAAGCTATCAATTTGCATCAATATGTAGCACTGATACCAAATGGAGGTTAAATATGGAGATAGACAAGGAGAAGGAGCAGGTGGGAGGCAGTGTTACCTGTAAGATGGGTGTAAAAGGATGAATGTGTCAGCAGTAGAGCAACTAGGTCATATTGAACTGCATGAAAAGCCAAACAGCACAGCAGGGTTAGGGCTGGAGCACACATGGCCTCCTTGTATGGGTCATCCCTTCCACCAGCTGTGCTCCCAGGCACTTGTGTGAGCAGATGAAGGTGAGATGGGTATGCTCAGGGAGGCCCTGAGATGGAGGGAGTAGCATGATCATGGATGCTTTGCTGATGGAGAGCCTTGGTTGGAGGCCACTAGCCAGGTTCAGGGGGAACTTCCCCATAGCTGGGCCAGGATAGTTTGGTGGTAGCCAGAAACCTCTTGCCTTTCCCCAGGAGGCAGAGCTGGAACGCCTGGAGAGGGAGTTTGCCATTCAGTCCCAGATCACAGAGGCTGCCCGGCGCCTGGCAAGCGACCCGAATGTCAGCAAGAAGCTGAAGAAACAGAGGAAGACATCCTACCTGAATGCACTGAAGAAACTGCAGGAGATCGAAAACGCCATCAATGAGTATCGCATCAAATCTGGAAAGAAGCCAACCCAGAGAGCCTCCTTGATCATAGATGGTAAGTGGGGCTCAGTGTCCACAGCATTGCTGAATCACAGCATCACAGAATGTTAGGGATTGGGAGGGACCTTGAATGAAGGGTCTGTGGAGGGCAAGGAGCAAAATTCTTGCCTTGAACTTGTGGCTTGAGGCACAGATTTCCCATCCCTCCTCATCCCTCTCCTGTCTGGAGGACTCCACAGCTGCTGGCAGTCAGGCTGTCCTCTCCCGTACCACCGTGCTGTCAGATGGGTGCCTGGGCTGCGTGCCGTGCACCAGGGATGTGCTGGTTCACAGCCCAGGAAGCAGTGTCACACCAGAGATGATAAGTGTGTCAGGAAAGCAGACTGTGACTCCTTTGTTCACCTATAAAATCGCTCTGTTCACGTCTCCTCCGCAGTGGTGCTGTACAAGTGTAATTAATGTTAGCAGATTGGGGTGAGCTCTCTCGCTGAAAGGCTTCTGTAAAATCAAAGTGGTGGCAGTGTCGTTGCTGTGTTCAAATGCTTACTTTTCCTTTTTCCCTTTTTTTTTTACAATGTAACTCTCAGGGCACTTTATGGTTTACTGGGTTGTTGATTGGTTTTTTCATGAAATCCATTAACTTTCTGCTGTGGTTCTTTCTCCCTTGCTGATTTTGCCCTTTCCCTTTGACTTGCAGAGCTTTTCTCTCTGCCTTTGTAGCAGGAACTGAGATTAGAGCTGCTGTATTTGTGACTTGGGTACTAAGTTGCACCACAGTCCAGGATAACAGACAGCCATGAGGACATGAGATGGGAGAGGCAGCTCAAACATGTGCACACCAAGGACATGGGAGCTTCTCCTGCTGCCAAAAGGGATGCTTAGAAAGTGTTTCCCTGAATTACACAAAACTGGTACCTAGTGTGGGCCTTTAGTTAGCAACAGGATGATCATTTTAGGAAGGTGGACATCAAACCCAGAGTCCTTAAGGCCTGAGATACAAATTTTGCTAATGGTACTGTGCCATTTTGCATCCTCTGGGGATCTCAGCTCTCCATTGTCACTCAGTCTTAATCCCCATTAGCTGAAAAGAGTTAGCAGCTCCTTGAAAGGTGGCCTGCTAGTGAAAGACCTGGCCTGCAGCTCTGCCCTCCCAGACTGAGAGTGGGCTGAGTCAGTTGTTTATAGGAATCCTCTTGCCTCTCAGCTGTGAGGAGGAAGACGTGGGTGACTGCTGAAGGCTCAGCAGAAACAATTCAGCAGTCACTGTAATTCTTGGGACCATCTGACCACCTTTATTTTGTTCCCTTCAGAAGGAAACATTGCCAGTGAAGACAGCTCCCTCTCGGATGCCCTAGTTCTCGAGGATGGTATGTTGGCTGTTGTATGTTCTAGAGGGCAGGAAGGAAACTGGGAGGGATGTATGAACTCCTGATTGACACTCAGAATGGAGGAAGTGTTCTGTGTAATAATCCACCCAAACTTCCCAGCACCAAAAATACTTGGTTTCCCTTGACTCCACCGTGTAGTCATACATTAGGCTTGGAGCAGTGAGTATTGCTGTGGTTACTGCTCTGAATTCTTTCAAAAGACAGTCCCAGAATGGCCCCTTACTTTCTATTAAGGTTTCAGTTGATTTAATTTATCATACACTCTTGCTGGCCATTCTCTCTCAAAATGGGAATGTTAGCCAGCGTACTTCTGAAAGTTGGGTCTTCAGGTTGCTCCTAAACCCTACGAGGGGAAGCAGGGTAAGGAAGCAGGCTCTGGAGGTGTGATGGTGTCCCCTGGGGTGGTGCTGCCGTTGGAGGTGTCACACAGCCATCACCTCTCTCCCTTGTTCTCTTCACAGAGGATTCTCAGGTCACCAGCACAATATCCCCTCTCCAGTCCCCACACAAAGGACTTCCTCCCCGGCCACCCTTGCACAACAGGCCACCTCCTCCGCAGTCTCTGGAAGGCCTCCGCCAAATGCATTACCACCGCAATGACTATGACAAGTCCCCCATCAAACCCAAGATGTGGAGTGAGTCATCCTTGGATGAACCCTATGAGAAGGTCAAGAAACGCTCCTCACACAGTCATTCCAGGTGAGTCAGCTATCTTGAAGCTCCATCACAGAGATATATCCTCTGCTTTTAAGAGGGACAGCTGTGAGCCCTTTCAAAATTTTCAAAGCTGTCCCTTTCCAAAAGGAAAATTTTAAGTATTTTGGCCAATAGGCATGTCATAAAAATAGGCTGCAGCCACATGACTGCTGCTTGGTATCTCAGTGCTACTTTAAAAAACATTTAGAAAGGAAAGGAAGGATCATCTGAGGGCTTTGACGGGGCTTGTCCTTGACCTCCAGCTACTGCAGAAGCACAAGCTCTGGGACACAGCTCAGAGCAGCAGCTGACCCAACTCCCACTCACCTCCATGAGATCAGAGGCACGTGCCTGAGATCTGGAGAGAGCCCCAAATTCCTGCCCAGGAACTGAAGCAGGATGTTTGCTCTGCAGCAGCCACAAGCGGTTCCCCAGCACTGGGAGCTGTGCCGAGGCGGGAGGGAGCAGCTCGCTCCAGAACAGCCCCATCCGGAGCCTCCCCCACTGGAACTCCCAGTCCAGCATGCCGTCCACGCCGGACCTACGGGTACGCAGTCCGCACTACGTCCACTCCACGCGGTAAGTCCTCCCCGCTCCATAACGGTCTCACCTTGCTTACCCTGAGATAAATATTCTTTGCTTTATCCTTCCCCCAGGATATGAATTAATTCCCAGTTCAGGAAAGGACACAAACCAGTCCTATTCACATCAGAGGCACAAGTACTGTTTCCAGTAGGGAATCTCTCCTGAACTGAGATCCTGAAATCACTTCAGATCAGTGTGATCCTGCCCCTCATCTCCCCCTCAAAGTAATCAAGCTTTTCATCTCAGGGACTGTTTATAGGCACTATAACCCCACTCCACTTTTAAAAGGGATGTGGTGCTACTGCTAAATTCTGTAGTAAATTCCTCCACTGATCCAGCTGGAGATAACATGTTGTTTCCTGTCTGATGCAAAATGTTGAGTAGTGTTAATTCTCTGCCTTAGATAAAATGTTTGCACGTGTGTTATCTTCTGTGGAGAGACAGCCTGTATAAAGCAATCCACCCGAGGATCCAAGTGGCAGTGGAATAACCCCAGAGTTGACAAAGAACTGAAATGTGTAAGGGAGGTGATTTGATGTGTGTGACCCAATTTGACTTCAATTTTCAGCAAGATTTCTACAAACTGTTCAGCTTCATTGCTATTTTGGGGGCCCACAAGAAAGCTGGGGAAGGACTTTTCATAAGGGCAGTTAGTGACAGAACAAGGGGAAATGGGTTTAAGCTGAAAGAGGGGAGGTTTAGATGAGATATTAGGAAGAAGTTCTTCACTGTGAGGGTGGTCAGACACTGGAACAGGTTGCTCAGAGCGGTTGTGGATGCCCCGTCCCTGGAAGTGTTTAAGGCCAGGCTGGATGAGGTTTTGAGCAACCTGGTCTAGTGGAAGGTGTCCCTGCTGATGGCAGGGGGGTTGGAACTGGATGAGCTTTAAAGTCGCTTCCAACCCAAACCAGTCTGTGATTCTATGATTCTATTTTGCTCCCATGGCAAACTCCATGGACAGTGCAGGAGGCAGAGCTGAGCCAAGGCTGTGTGCTGTTAGGTATCCTGCCCCAAGGGGCAGTGCTAACATCATTTAGCTCGGCATAAATCAAGTCATGCCAACACAGCAGGCTCAGGCAGAGACAATACAAGGCATTAAGGCCCTGGGTTAAGTTTGTGAGAAGCTTTTGGCTGAGAGTATCTTTCAAGAGTGCAATGTTAACGCTGGAGCCGAGCTGTGTGAGAAACAGGCCTGGCACAGGGCTTGAGAAGTGGCCTTGAGCAGTTAGGGGCCATTTGGGTGTTTGAAACAACGGTTGCTCAGTCTGTGGCTCATTGATGAGCTGCACGCCCTGGCCTTGACCATCCATCATGCAGGGGTGTGACTGACTGCGAGGTGTTCCTGTCTGCAACAGTTGGCTGAAGCTCTCCAGACAGCCGAGGTGAACAGAGACCACCCAGACTCAGCTGGGAGTCGAGCCTTGAAAACTTGTGATTCGGGGTGGTTGCCTGAAGGGCTGTCACCTGCTGACAGTCCTACACATGCTACCTACAGCTGGGCCCTGGTAAAACCTAGCTGCTTCACAGAGGTGACTATTTCAGTGGACAGTGGAGAAATCACTGCACTCTGGGTTAAGTATGGGCAGTCTGTCTGTCTGTCTCACACCAGGTGGATTGTACCTGTGCAGAGCATTCACGGGCCACTTGCAAGGGAATCCCATCACCTGGGATTTACAGAACTGGAGCAAGGTGAACCTGGCAGCGCAGGGATGGTGCTGATTCAAACAGCTCTGCCACGGGGCTGCACCAGCAAAGCCAGGGCTTGAGGTCCCCAGGTTTTGCCCTTCAGACTGTGTCTTTTCCAGGGTGGCAAGCTACAGAGGAATTGGGCTGGGCAAGGGTTTATGTTCCACGTGGTGCTGCAGACTGAATGCCACCACCAAGGAGACTAGAGAGGAACAAGAGTAGGACCTAATCGCCCCAAACTCTGCAGTGGAGAAGCAGGTTGCTTTGCAGCCAGCAGCCCCACGTGGTGCTGGAGGGGTCCAGGTTTTCACTGCTCTCAGATTCCCCTGCCTGTGAGGCTGGCCTTGTATGCAGAAGGGGATGGGGAGTCCTTCATCCTGTTGACTTACCAGCCTGGGTTTTTTTTCCTGGTATCTGCAGGTCAGTAGACATCAGCCCAACCAGACTGCACAGCTTAGCTCAGCACTTTAGACACCGGAGCTCCAGTTTGGAGTCGCAAGGCAAGCTCCTTGGCTCCGAAAATGAGACGGGGAGCCCTGATTTCTACACCCCAAGGACTCGTAGCAGTAACGGCTCTGACCCCATGGACGACTGCTCTTCCTGCACCAGCCATTCCAGCTCTGAGCACTACTACCCTGCTCAGATGAACCCCAACTACTCCACCCTGGCAGAGGATTCCCCATCAAAAGCCAGAGAGCGGCAGAGGCAAAGGCACAAATCAGCGGGCAACCTGGTCTCTTCCAATTCAGGGAGCATGCCCAACCTGGCTGCGAGGAACGGGACAGGGCACCACCGTGTCTACCTGCACAGCCAGAGCCAGCCCTCCTCCCAGTACAGGATCAAAGAGTATCCCCTGTACATCGAGGGCAGCTCCACACCCGTGGTGGTGCGGAGCCTGGAGAACGACCAGGAGGGACACTACAGCGTGAAAGCACAATTCAAAACCTCCAACTCCTACACAGCAGGGGGGATGTTTAAGGAGAACTGGCACGGGGATGAAGTGGACTCAGTCAGGCTCACCCCATCCCGCTCCCAAATCATAAGGACTCCATCTCTGGGCAGGGAAGGCCACGAGAAAGGCTCGGGTAGGACTGCTGTGTCAGACGAGCTGCGGCTCTGGTACCAGCGGTCCACAGCCTCCCACAAGGAGCACAGCCGCCTCTCGCACACGAGCTCCACTTCCTCGGACAGCAGCTCCCAGTACAGCACATCTTCACAAAGCACCTTTGTGGCGCACAGCCGGGTCACGAGAATGCCTCAGATGTGTAAAGCAACATCAGGTGAGAGCCAGGCCCAGGTAGAGGGGTGGGAGGGATGGGGGCTTCACGCAGCCCAGAGTCATGCCAGGCGTTACAGCCCAGCTGGGAGCAGTGCCACACCGTAGCACCTTTCTGGCCTTCTCATGCTGCTCACCAAGCCCGTAAGTAAGTGTAATGCTGGGGCCATCCTTGTCCACGACATTCATCAGGTGAGAATTTTTTTCTATGGAAATCATCACTTTGCAATGATGAGCTCAAAAGATAGGGAGGGACTGCAGCCCTGTTGTTGCCAGGTCTTTCCTTAGGGTGCAGGGGGGCTTTGGGTGGTGGCACTAGGGCCTGAATGTGGAGAAACCGCAGAGGGGGTCACTCTGAGTAGTCACAGTGAGGGGAGTGAGGAAGCAAGCAGGGGCTCAGCACAGACTAGGAAAATGCATCCTCAGTGGAGCACCAGAAGCATGAGAAAGGTTAAGCGGGGAGCACCCCAGCCTCTCCACCCCCCCATGAAAATGTTTGAGCGATGACATCTTTGTGCACTGCTGAGACTTGGTTTTCCCATGCAGCTCCAATAATAATATCCTGATAATATCCTGAAATTCAGAGCCCTTCAGTTCGTGCACTAGTATCGTACCTCTCTGTCAGGTACAGAGCTTTGCATTCCTCTGTGCTGTTAATATTAAATGGTAAGAAAACAGTCAAATGCATTAAACTGAGGAGGTCACTATATGTTGTGAAACAGTCCAAGGTTAAATATTTACTGGCCATCAGTCACTGCTGGACAAGCCAGTTTGGATAGATCAAGGACTTGCTAAAAACCCCAATCCAGGATTGCTGGTTAATCAGTTTGCACTGTGCCCATCCCCACCCTTCCACATGCCTCAGGCTTGGCAGGGGAGACACCACTGCTCCAGCCTCACTTGCTGCAGGTCCTTGCTGCCTCTCTGAGCAGACAGTGCATCCCCCACCCATGCTGGCTGGTGGCCTTTCTGACATCCCAGCATCACACTTGGGCCACAGCGACCACCACGCTGACACCAGTGGGGCTCTGTCCTCCCTGCTGACTCCAGAGTGGAGCCGGAGAGGCAGTTTAACACCAGGCTCCTCATGGGCAAGAGGGTGTGATGCCAAGTGCTCTTAGGAGACCCAGATATGGACCAAGACACAATCAGGTAACTGCTGAAACTGTTTTGTGTCTCCATATGAAAATCTGTCTTCCCTCCTTTGCTGAACTGGCATTTCTGTTCCACCCAGCAGCACAAAATGCTTGAACCCTGGAAAGCTTTAGAGACTGCGCCAGTTCAGTTAGGAACGGAAAATGGTGGGGTTGGAGGGAGAGCGTGTGACAACTGCTGTCAGTCAGTCTGTTCCCTCACCCAGCTGGGTCTTTAAATCTGAATGTGATAACTGGGCAGCACAGTGGTAAGTGTGCTCAGTAATCACAGCTTGTCATGACCAGTTGGCACCACAGATTGGTTCTGCACTCAGAGTCAGACCCCAATTACAGCTGTGGGAGGATACTGACCTCGGGGGCTCTCAGCTCCAAGGAGCAGATTAAAATTTGGGTTTCTCTTCAAGTGTCATTTGGCAGCAGCTAAAGAATTTAACGGCACAGAAGGGGATGCCAGGTGGAAACATCCTTCATTGCAGCTGATTAGCCCTACCCAGTAGGTCTGTTGGACTTCATGCTGTCCTTCAAAGAGGATTATACTTCTAGGCATATATTAAATTCAGAGGGTCAACTCTGTATGGACTTGAGGAGGAGGAAAGATGAGCCAGGTAGATTTCTTAGCTAGACCCTTATCAAGGAAAACCCCCAAGAACCACTGCCAATGTTATATTTTTAGTTCAGCTTGCTTCTCTCTTCACTGAGTAAAATAAGCCGCCTTCTGGTCCCATAGGAGTAGGGTCAGCAAAGCCCAACTTCATTTTATTACAGATGCACAGTGAAAGGTAGTTGTAGCTTCTGAAATCTTCAGAGGTGCCTTCCTCCTTTGCAGATGAAGCAGTGTACTTGTCCAGACTCTTGACAGTGCCAGCTCTGGCTCCTAGGGACACAGAACATCTCCCATCACTGCTGGAAGCAGGAGGCTGGGCTCCTCCAGTCCAGGTCCCATGAGGTGTGCAGCCAGGCCCTCCTAATCCAGGCAGCAGCAAAATTATGGAAGAGGTGTGGTGTTTCCCTGGCAGAGCTCAGGAGAGTCTGGGGTGTTGTATTCAACCTGGAAGCATTTCTGCAGAGCTGAGGATGGATCCGGCCCGTGACACGCAGCAGCGTCAGCACCAGGCTGGCTGCTCCTGTGCCGTGTTCAGGCACAGCCCTCCAGGAACAGGATGAGGTCCAAGGCTGTGTTTACTCACAACAGGACATGTTTCTGCTGGTCTGACCAGCTGATGCTTCTGAACCACCCTGACCCTTCTGCCCTCACCTCACCAGTTATTTTTCCCCCCCTGTGGTTGTTTTTCAGCTGCCTTACCTCACAGCCAGAGGAGTTCAACACCCTCGAGTGAACTAGCAGCCACGCCGCCGGGCAGTCCCCACCACATCCTCGCATGGCAGACTGGGTGAGTGGCTGTGGGATCGGGTTAGGGAATTCACCTCGCTCAGTGCTGGCGAGAAAAACCTCCCCACACACAAGCAAAGGGACAACACAGGTATGAGGAACATTTTCCAGGTGCTCCATAGCCTACACCCACGTAGAGCACTTCCACCTCCCACCAGTGCTCTTGTAGCAGTGGAGCTCTAGTTGAGGCTGACCAAGATGTGGCAGTGCCATCAGCACCCAGCAGCACCGCTCCAACCACTGCTGGATCCACAGTGAAAGAAGCCTTGCAGGTTCTTCCTGCTCGGACAATCTCCTTCCTCCAATGTTCCATATCTCAAAATAGCTCATTTTTTTTTTCTATAAACCATCACACTGGCTGTCCAGACCAAGAAGATCTTTGTTGTAAAGGCAAGGTTAGGTGCCTACCATATTTGTGTGTACAGCAACCACGTTTTTCTGCTAGGTTTTTTTCTAGCAATGTATCTTAATGACTATTAAGTGCATCTTTTTTCAGCCACCACTAACTTAATGTGCTTCATCAAAGCGTGAATGAGTCATGACAGGCAGGTAGCCACTGCTCATGTAAATATGGTAACTGGGTTCTTTGGCACCCCTGTGTGAAGCAGGGAGTTCAAGGAGTAAACAGAAAACCTTTTGCAAGCTCCCATGGGTATTCTCTAGCAATCTCCTGTAATTCTGTCCTGCCACATGAAATAAAGATTATTTCCAGATCCCGTCTAACTCGGCACATCCCAGATTTTTGCTTCTAAACTGAGCTTGGTGAGATCAACTAGAAAGTTTCAGACTACAGTCCTCAAAATACCAGCGGCCCTAGAGTAAGAAAACAGATTTGATCACCTGAGTTGTGAACTGGGACCAGTAATTTTGCAAACATTTCATTGTGCAGTCACTGGAAAATCCCATGCTCTTTAATTTCTTCTGGTCACCTATGACCAAGTTTGACCTCTGGATTTACTCCAGCACCATTCGTGACTGCACTTTAAAATGGAGATGAGGAGAACCATAACCACAACCCCCTTAGGCCTACCTTGGATTTTGAATTCAGACAATTGACATCCAGCCTCACCTGGTCTTTGCATGTGCTTCCAGCTTGAGAACGGGAGAAGTTTCCTGGTCCCATTTCACAAAAAGTCAAAGGATCACAAGACAGGCAAAATGGCAGCTGTCCTTACTGTACACCGAAATTTCCACTATTAAGGGCTTGAGTCTAGACTCAAATCTTGAGTCTCAGTCTCCATCCCAATCCTGATTCCTCTAAATATCTCCATGATGCTCAGAATTAAAACTGATGAGCAGCCAGCTGAGAAATCTGTTTGGAAAATCCCAACTTTTCTTATTTTTTTCCATTCAAGAAGACTCCTGCTCCCTGTCTCTCATAGCAAAAATGTATCGAGCCAAATTCACAGCTGGTGAAAGTGAAGTTACGTAGAGTTATAGAATCACAGTGGTTGGAAAAGACCTTTAAGATCATCGAGTCCAACCATAAACCCAACACTGCCAATCCCACCTCTAAACCATGTCCCTGAGCACCTCATCCACCTGGCTTTTAAATACCACCAGGGAAGGTGACTCCACCACCTCCCAGAGCAGCTTGTTCCAGTGCCTGAGAACCCTTTTGGTGAAAAAGTTTTTCCTAAATCTTAAGCCCTGCACCAACAACCGGTGCAAAACCAGAACTGGAGACAAATCAGCACGTGTTTCATGCCTGAGCGTTAACACCCAAGGCACACGTGTAAAGAGAGGACGAGCAGATATTTGCCATCGGGTGCACAACACCAACTCCCCCACTGCAGGAGCAGGCTGTGCCCTCCCAGCACAACTCAAAAGATGGACAAGAAAAGTTCTCCCCAACGTGTTTTTGTGTCACTAACTTTTTCTAAAGATGATTCATCAACTTGTTTCCCGACTGGATTAATAAGCTCGTAACAATGTCTGTGTCACTTCTTTTCTTTAACATTTCCTCTCTCTCTCTCTCTCTCTCTCCTTTTTCCTCCTTTTTCGCTCTCCTTTGTTCAGAGAAGCAACAGACAACTCACCCACTATGGATGAGTCTCAATCTCCAACCCACCAAAGTACTGATGAATAGAGGTATAGTAAGGGAACGTTTTGTTCTTTCATCCTTCTGCCTTACAGTCCGCGAACACGGCGCGAATAACCGGCATCCCGCTGTCCCAGAGGAGCATCCCTTTTCATTGTGTGCCTGTTTGTTTGGCAACAAGGCTTCTTTCAGCTCTTGGAAGAACAACTTGAAAGCATCTCGAAGCCCTCTCTGTGCCTTTTCAGCAAACTTGCTGCTGTGGGGCTTTCCCCTGTGAAAAAGGACTTCGGGCCAGCCCACTCTGCATGCGTGCAGAGGCTGAAAGGGCACAGAGAGCAGGTGGTGGTGACAAATTTGTGGCTGGGGATATTTCAAAGCAGCGTGGGCAGAGTGCTGCGGGGAGAGTCTGGGAGCAGCTTAGCAGGGAGACAAACCTGGGTAAATGGGGACCTCGGGGGACCTGGCCTGAGCTCCTCGCAGCGCTCCAGCCATGGCACCGAGCACCCCTTTCTGCTCCTTCCCTACCGCAGCACAGAGCTGTGAAGCACAGACTGTTAGCAGCTCAGTGAGGTTTCACGGAGCGAGGAGCAATCCTGGCTCCATTCCTGTGGGAAGACAGAGGGGGAAGGGTGGTGGGAACAAAAAAACCCTCAGAGTATTTCTATTTTAATTAAACTGCTGTCGCGTCTGACACTCTAATTTGAATCTACAGCCATTCACAGCTGGCATCTGTCATGTATTTCAAGCCCAGCTTTCTAGAGATAACCCATAAACCTCAGTACTCCAGCACAGAGCTGGGAAACAAAAGGCTCTTTAACACACAGATGGTGATGCCCTTGCTCAGGTTTCTCCCAGACACCAGTCCCAGGGAAACCAGGTGGAAAACAGGACAGAGGAAGCAGGGACTGCTGGACTGCATCTGATGTGAGATCAGTCCTGCGAGGCGGGGAGGGAGCTGAGGCAGGAGCAAGAACCCCACAGTAAACAGAAATAAAATGCATCTCCCACTTTTGGCCTCAAAACAATCTCTAGTTTGGAAGTTGGTTAAAATCAAAGTATGAGGAGGTGACACCAATTCTGAGTATTATTATGCAGATAGAGCAGTCACTTTTCAAAACACCATCAAGATTTTGACCTCAGTGTTTTCCTCTGGCAAGGAGCTCTGCAGACTAAGCCAGGAGCCAACCTTGATCGGAGCTTTCAGACAAATAGCAAAGAAAATTCCCATTACCTGTCTCGTATGCGCTGAGCAAGCAAACAGAAAGCCATGCAGCTTGGGGCTTGTTGAGGGAGGTGCCACAAGATGAGAGAACTAGGCTACCTGTGACAAAACATGGTCCTGTGACAAAACAGGTCCACATCAGACCTGGCACCTTCTCACTAGTCACTTCCTGGCTCTTCCCTGGAAAGCCACGTAACTCTGGGATTGCTGGGTGAGGCACGAACGAGCCTGTGCCCAGAGCAGAAGTGCTACAGGACAGCACCACCACCCTCCTCCTTCCACGTTCCCACTGGGCACTACAGCCTGTGGCTGAGAGGGCTGCTCTTAAGACTTGCTCCCTGGAGAGCATCCTACTGAAAAATAATCTCTTTACTCCAGCTTACTGCCAGGCAGGAAAGCACAACAGAGAGTTTAGGCAAGGCAGAGCACTGCTGCTGTATCCTGGGAGGGAAGAGGCCGCAGACAGAGAAAGCAGAGGCAGGTGTGGTACCACATATGGTGAGATGGACATGGACTGTGGGGTTGACCCCAGGCTCTTGCCCTCCAGCAGTCACTCTGCTCTCTTGTAGCGCATCCCCTTCATGAAGCCCCTGCCACTGGCCAGCAGTGGGCTGAACACACAACAGCTCCATCCAGAACTCTGGAGAGGCTGCTGGAGCTCGGCTTTCTCCTGCCTCTCAAACCAGGCGAGTTGCTCGGGGAAACAGGGCTGCTGGGCAAGAGCAAACTGGGTCAGGGCAGGGCCCTGCATGCTGAGCCCACCCCAAACGTCAGCTCTGGGGGTACCTGCAAAGCGCAACTGTGAATATCCTGTGTTCCTCCCTACCCATAATACGATGTTTTATGCCCATGGTTAAACTTCCCAGGAGCCCTCGTTATCCTAACGAAGTTTCCTTTCTCCTGCAGGAGCTACAATGATAGCTGTTTCCTGGATTCTCCCCTCTATCCAGAATTAGCAGATGTCCAGTGGTATGGGCAGGAAAAAGCCAAGCCTGGGACTCTAGTGTGAACCCCTGACCTCAAGTTAATCACATCAATGCCATTCTGAGATCACCTCACTGCCTCTCATTTGCCTTACCCAGATGCACTGTCACCCAGCACCAGCTTCAACTCTAAGCACTTTCCTCACGATGCAATTCAAGACGGCATTTGCAGAACACCGGCCCCGAGACATCCACCACGACAGCAGCGGCGCGGCGCGTCCCACTGCCAGACTGGTGCACGTCCCTCCCACAGCCCGCAGGCAGGCGGGTGCAGATGAGCAGCCAGCTTCATAGTCAGTCAGCAACTTAAAAATTGATTTTCCTTTGAAACGATGGACCCCTTTCAAGGCTTACATCAAATCCTACTGTCCTGCAGCACGTAACAGCAGTAAGATTTCCATGACCTGCGATCCAAAGCCAACAGAGCATTAGTTCAAAGGGGGGAAAGGGGGTAAAATGGGACAGAGGCTGAAAAATTGGTATTACAATCCTGAAAGTCCATCTGTTACGAAACAGTAAAATCCCATCACTTCAAAGATGTGTCAGAGTCTTGCAACCAGACCTGCACTGCCAAAGATGGCCAGACCAACATCAGCAGGATGAGTTTGCTCAGCAAGTTCTAGCTACAAGAACATCTCTCTCATTTAACCTAACAGCAGACACAACCATCTCCTGTAAAACGGCATTTCCTCCTTCTTTGCTTTGAGCCCACCTACACGCAAGGGAAATAACCCCACATGCTGAAAGCACACTGGAGGTCTGGGCTGGTATCACGGCATCGCTGTCTATAAGCTACTGCTAGACTGGACAAACGAGGTTTACAAAGGCATTATCTAAAGCAGAGGCAAGAGCTGCTACTCACAGCATGGCTGTGCCTGGCACAGGTCGCACACCAGTACACAGAGAGGTCGGGGTTGTGCTGGTTTGTTTCTTTTTAATACTCTGGTGAAGATAAAAATTGCCCCAAAAAACCTTTCTACAAACAGGTACAGCCAATAAATTCTAATCTACTTCTGCACAAAGCGTTAAGGGAAATCAAAGGGAAAGCACATCGCAATCTAATTGACAGGTAAAGCTGCATTAACATATCTGCTCCACTCATCTTCCCTTCGTTAGCACCAGTGTAGCAAAGGGCTCCTCGTCACCCGGTGTGGGAGAACCGGTCTGTCGGGAAACAGAAGGGCTCGGCCCATGGGGCTGAACAACCAGCAGACGAGGCAAATTTTTTCCCATTGCGAGAAGCGACCACAAGAAAGAAAGAGAAGCAACTAAATGAAGCGTTGGACACAAGCGAGAGCTGCCTGCTGATACCAAAAGGAATCGTCCCCAGAGCGTCACGGAAGGAGCTGCAAGTTTACACATACTCTTGAGCAATGCTTTATACACGTCAAGCCATGGAACTTTACAAGGCCTCAAAGAGACTTTTTGTACCGAACAAGTGCACAATCCCGGTGGGTGTTGAAGCTGGCACGTCTAGTCTTCACTGCGGTGCTATGCTGTTTTTATTGCCACTAGATGGGGGGAGGCACCCCGCCTTCCCCCCGTTTGTGCGTGCAAACGATGATTTCCTATGGGAAAGGCATTAAAAGAAACGGCTGGAGGGGGGTTACTTTGTGAAAAGCAGAAACTGAAGTTAGCTTTAGTTTAAGAAAAATTAAAAAAAAAAAGGAACAAAAAAAATAAAGTGTGAGTGTGTGTGTGCGTGTGTGTGTGTGAGTGTGAGTGTTCCAAGAATAACAAGAGCATCTACCAGACAAAGTAGGGCAAAACGTTGAACATTAAACACCGCGACTTGGGGGGCTGCCACACCTTTTAGTATTAAGATTGCTGGAAAACTGCATTCCAGGCTTTAAAAGAAAAGAATATAGGTTCTTCATAATTGGGCTTGGAAAGATGATGGGGTTTCTAAAAATTAATACAAGCTGCTCACACAAATACCTTTCTGCAACTGTTGATGCTGCTGTTCTCTGCTCGTGGCTGCTGTGCCGCTGCCTCGCATCCCTGGTGAGGCCGGGGAGGTGGCCTTGCAGAGATGAGGACAGCAGCGTGCACCAAAGGCTGTTACTTGTCCAGGGAAATCTCCATCAGAGCCAGGAAGGAAACTTTCATGTTCACACGTGAAGTATAATTGAATTATCCCTCTGGGGAAAAAAAAATAATTAAAAAAGAATATTTTTTAATACTAGGAAGGGTTTTTTAAAGGTAGCCATGCGAGCCTCACGCTTCTGGACCTCCCTGAAGAATCACCACAGGAGTACAACCCCCTTGGATAGTCACTGAAGCCGTGTAACCAACTGCTGGGGGGTGAGATTGCAGCCTTTATCTGGACGTGCAAAATGCCGTTTTCACCATCTCTTTGTGCTTTGGGGTCTTTAACGTGGGAATTATTTCAAGCTCTTAATTGGATTTTTAGCTGGATAAGAGAGAGCACTGATTAGTAACATTTACTGATAAGATTCGGTAGCTAAAGTGAAAGGATTAAATAAGGACCAAATTAAGCAGCAAGTAATGTAGCCCATGGATTTTTAGGGGCTCTGAGCAACTGTCTGTTTTCTTTTTAATTTCCCTGGTAAGTGGTTTGGAGTTGGGTTTTTTTTGTTTTGTTTGTTTTTTTCTGTGTACCTTCTTTTAATTAAAAAGAATTCAACAACAGCGGCACTATGAGGCCTCTGGGCACTACAGGAAGAAACATTAATTCCTCCAAGACCAGATCTGCAGTTTTGCAGCAAAGGTTAAAAGGTGGCAGCCCTGAAATTAGGGTGGGGGGAGGGAAGAAAACAAACCATGGTTAGCCTGAATTGCAAACAGGCTGGAGTAGAGAAAAAGCTTTCTAGAAAACGGATTGAGTTTTGCTTTGTGTTCTGCTTTTCTGTTTTGCGATCAAGGCACACACGTGAGCAGCCAGTCTGGTAGTAAAGACAGATTTAAGTAAAACAGGTTTTACTGTTTAGCTCAATTCAATTAAACACAAATGTACATAAAATGTTAATCGTATGGGATTAACATATTTAAGTATAACGTGGAGGGGTGTATACATAGCTATTATATACAAGCACTTGACTACCAACTTAACCCCTCCTCTACTTTTTTATTTTCCAAGGCTCTGTCTGACATAAAGCCACAATCGTGTTCTCAGTCTCCACGTCTGACTCCCCCTGTGGAGCCGGGAGCCCGGCCCGTGCGCCGGGAGGCAGGGTTTATTTTTAAATGATATTATATGCAGTCGAGTGTTGAAAAATGTTGAAACAGTCCCAATTTGTTTTTCACTCTGTATTAGTTTTAGTTTCAGGCATAGCCGATCCCCATTCAGGTGCTATCAGATGACCAGTTACTGCTTAGTTAACTAGATGTAAAGTTTTACATATATATTAATGTCAATAGTTTTATTACAAGTTGTGTAAAATGGACTCTCTAGTTTAAAAAAAGGGAAAAAAAAAAAAAAAAGAAGAAAAAAAAATTAGGTCTCTCCTGAAAATGACTTTAGAGCATGGAAAATGATTTTACTGGATTCTGTTCAACTGTAATCAAGGAAAAAAAAAAATATGTATGTTGTAGAAAAAGTTGCAGAATTAAAAAAGATCTGCTTTTAATTTATTCTTTTTGTATTAAGAATTTGTATAGTTACCTTTACATTTTGCAAAACGGTGTTGTCAACACTTCCTTATTAAAGCATTTTCAAAATGAAACCTTGCTGTGGTCTTTTCAGGAGGGCACAGCAGTGCCTGGCGAGTCCTTTCCGTGGCGGCCGCACCTCCACCTCTGCCAGACGCTGGGTCCAGATGTGAGCACAGCTGGTCGGGTTTCCGGGAGGGACCCGCTCCTTTGCTGTCGGGGGGCCTGATTTTGGGGGGAGTGCCCAGCGTTTCCTGCAAATCCCTGTCCTTTATTCCAGAAGCATTTGGACAACACCCTCAGACACATGGTTTGAATCTTGGGATTGTCCTGTGCTGGGGCAAGAGTTGGACTCGATGATCCTTGTGGGTCCCTTCCAGCTCACAACATTCCATGATCCCTTGGGATTCAGCGCTCACACTCAGCAGATCCTGCTCGCTCCATCGCCTGTTCTCTCACCCACTGATCTCGGGGGCTCAGGAGGTGTGTCAGGCACTAAGGAACCGTGGGACTCTCTTCCCACCACAGTAGGAATCAAAGCCATGAAAACAGTATTTATTTCTAGCACACGTAACTTGAAATAACTAGAGTTAACATTTGCTTGCGCTGTTGGATGCTAAGGAGCCACAAGGCCGCTTGCAGCAATGCCCAGGTCCGTGGGACAGACCCGAGTGCCAGCACGCTCACCCCTGGTGCTCCACGGAACCACCTGCTCCTTGGGTTAAATTCCTGGAGAACCCCCCATTGTCCTGGTTTAACCTCAAACC